GAGAGTATACTTCTTTATACAAATAGGATAATGAATTTTAACCTCTTTGAATCTGCATGAGTTTGATTTCTCACTCACTACAAAGCAAGCACGAAATCTCACATCATTTAAAGCACTAATACTTATATTGCCAAGATTTTTTTAATCACTAACCACTAATTAATTCAGAAAGAGAAGAGTGGACAATTTAGAAAATAATGGCTTTCTTTGTCAGTGCAGGATTTGAAAAATATATATAACTAAAGTTATTAGGCCAATATTACTATAGCGACCCGCCTCGAACCAACTCAATTACTCTACGACCTTATAAATCATTTATAATAGTTATAAAATAACTTAATACTATTATGAATGATTTATACTTGAATTGCAAGTACAATATCAAAACGTAATTACTGACTTTCTTCGCTTTTACAATGTTTCTTCGTTTTCTAATTCTTCTGCTTTCACAATTTGTCATTTAATCATAGTGAAATGATCATGCAGTGATTGAAAAAGCAACAGAAAGTAATGGATTAAAAAAACTGACCACTCGGGATTTCATGTAACAAACCGATGGAATTAAATTGCACACAACAAAATTGTTAAGACTAAGGGTTCGATTTTTCACCAGCATAGCCCTTCCTTACTCATTTCATTAGGCATCATCTTGCGTGTCTGCTTGATTTAAGATTAAAATTTAAAAAAAGAAACTCTTGAAAAATTTATGAAAGTTGAGTTCTTGCCAGCAATAGTGCAAGCTCAGCCTTTGGCTTCCCAATAAGTTACATATAGAAAAATCAATTTATTGTTGCTAAAAGCTTTACCGTAAAGCTGTTGTCAACACATTATCATATCTACACAAACATGACGTCATGACTACTTCAATTCATTAATGCATATTTTCAAGAGGGTTTTGTTGTTATCATGATGAGAGGCTTAGTTCTATTGAGGCAATAATAATCTGTGACAATTCAAGAAAAAACTCAACTGCTTCTCTGAATCCAATCACTGAATATTTGATAAAAATTCACTCTGCTACTTATACGCTTTCTTCGAATTTTACGAAACCATTATAACACTATTTTGCATTGCACATCCACACTTCCTGCTTGAATCGTGATATCTCTTTTGTCAAGAAGTACTTCATTACAGTAATCAACTTTGCTGAGAAATTAGAATTGGAATGTATTAATCGATTAGTGACAGCGTCTACGAAACACTATGACCATTATGATTATTCTCAAAAATAGAAAGAGTTAAGATAAAACATTTAAATATTTGAGAGCGTTTATAGGCTTATAAGCATCATTCCAATGATAATTCTCATTTCTGAAATTTATAATCCATCTCCAGAGATAGAATATAAATTTTGTCTTTTCTTTTTTTTGTGCCTATGTGTAATATTTTTTTTTGTAACTATCAACTTTTGAGAGGAAATTCAACAGAAAATAGATATTATTCAGTTCATCATATATACGCTTCGAAGCAAATCCAGGAAGTCTTTGCGATCAGAGAGGATAGGAGCAGATGGAAACAAATGACAGAGGAATGATGAATTCTTTGCACAATTTTATGAGTCATTCAAGCATGTGCAGTGGTGGAAGCCATCTGTCAATGCTTGTATTATTTCAAGTCTAAAGTCTGTAACTTCCGACATGAACTGAATAGAAAGTTAACGGATAAGTGAACGAATATAAATAAGGAAAGAAATATAGGAAGACAGATATGCATGCACGGTCAACAGTATTAACTCAGCAAAAATGATAATCAAATAATAATTCAATTTATTCATCAAATGTCTTCCTAGAATTGAAAAAAATTGAAAAAATTGAAAAAAATCAAAGTATGAAAGAAATCATTGGTGCCACGAAAAGAGAAAAAAACTCGTTGCTTATTGTAGCAATTACTATCACTATTATCAACTACTACTGTGATTACTGGAGCAAAATTCACAAGTTCCAGAACCGGAATTTCTGAACTTAAGAGCTAAAATAATGATTCAAGATTTATGGATTAGAAAAGTGATTTTTCAATAATTAAAAGAATTTATACTAAATATTACTTGCTTATTTTATAATGCATTTAAAATTATTGATACCGCTGCTCAGATCTTAAATTTAAATTAAGACAGAGAAGTGAGATATAGTATCTTTCCTCATTTATTAATTTCCTTATTTATTGCTACTTTACTTATCTAATTTTAAAATCAATGTTGTACACGTCCAATAAATTATATTTACGAATAAATAAATAAAAAAGCCTTTTAATGTTTTTTGTTAATAAAACAAAACATAGAGATGCTCGATTAAAGTAAGTAATCTGGAGAGCGATAGTGCCAAAGTAAATCATTGAATATGTTAAAAATTGCTATAGGAATAAAAGAGAGCTCGAATTTCTAAAATCTTCAATCTTTACAATAAAACAAAAACAACAACCTAAGATCTGCATGTAGCGAATCACTTAGGAATAGTAGTCGAATAGGAATACTTCCACATCTAATTAGTCTTATGGCATAACATTCCTAGCATTACTTAAAGAATCTGGTTTTAATTGTATTTGTAGAATTTTTGAAAAATACTTCTTCTGCTTTTAAAATTACCATCAGTAGAAATTCCCGTGCACGATAATTGCAAAAATTAAAATGCTTCTTTCAATAAAAATATTATTATTCAAGTAGTTTTTACGCCAATCTATATTTTTTTTTTTGTTTTGATTACGGATGCACAAAATTTCTACAATTTAACCTTAAAGAATCAGAAACTGAATAACATGAAAATTTTGGTCTGGATCATTTAGTCAGATGAAATAATTTAAACTGAAACTTCCCCATTGGAAGATTTTTAGAAGAACACTATTTTTTTGACTGCATTACGGGTTTGTTTAATAATTAGTCAGCATTCAAGGAATTTATATCTTCCATTCGCTGAAAAAAATAAAGCAGCTACAATCGCAGTTAGTAGACCAAGAAGGTAACCTAAAATAACTGAGATCACTACACAAAAATACGCTTAAAGAGAAAATGTAGAAGGATTCTAATATATTGATGTATAGTTGAACAAATATCTACTCTCGACCACTGGGAAATAAATAAAGAGAAAAATTTAGATGATTGTTTTTTTTACAGGGAAACACTACTGGTAAAAGCGAACAGCTCAAAACATGTTAAAATACTGCAAACGATGACTGCAACTGTAATGACGGTGTTAGTGATGATAGTGTTGACGATGTTGATGCTGGTAGTGATAACAATGCTGAATAAGAGCTCTACTTCCTGGAAAAGCATTGTAGCAGTGTTTTTAAATTTCATAATATACTGTTTCTAGTTTGCTGTTCAATGAATCAAGTGATACATTGAGAATAGCTAATGCAGAGCTGCTTTGATATTGATATTGAGAGCTGAAAGAAGCAACCAAGAAGGGGAAGTTCGGAAAAGCGGTTTTGACTGCTATCGGGGTGGTAACACTCTGGTGCACAATATCACTCTGACTACATAATAGCCCGAATTGCTGAATGAACTGCTATATATGTGTATGCTAAGGCGCTAACTAGTGAAAAAAGGCTTGTAAATACGAGAGTAGGGAAGAAAACCCGAAAAAAGAAATCGGACCAGTGAAACGGAAGACAAAATTTTCTAGGCATTACTTCTAAACATAAGTTGGACCATTCCATCTAAGCCTAGACTCTCCTACCGCCGACTGGCGTTGTTGGTGCTGTTCCTCCTCTTTGCAAATCAATAGAGTAGCCTAACTTTTTCAGAGTAAGGCCGACATATAAAAAGTAGTGCTGAGAGCCAACTCCTTTCATTATTACATCGCTACTACAAGTAAAACTATTGATTAAAAAAAAGAGGCCAGCAGCTAACCGATAGTTAATAAATAAGCATACCATTCAGGTACTCAGGCAAATGAAAAACGTATGTGGATATCTACTAATTTATATGAAAACAGTCACCAATTATTTTTTGAAATTAATGTTTTATGAATCGTATAGTTTGATGTGAGTTTAGAAAACTTACAGATATTGAATGTATCGACTACAATAATCAGCTAACATGTGTATGCGTATGGTGGTGCAAAATGTAGCAAAACAAAAATTCAATGACGCAATGTGAAATATGGAAATATTGTAGTAATGGACGGAGTCACAATGCCTGTTCATTTACAACACATCGATTCGTTTACGTTTGTGGTATGTCCCAGTGACAAGGTACATTGTATATCTGCTGTTTAAATACTTCACTGGTCATTCTGACTTGTTCCTTTTTTACATGTACCATGAAAAAGGTGAGTGTCATTATATTTAGAGAGAAACGTAAGTTTTTCTATTCAACCCACTAGAATCCAGAACTGCTGTATTCGTAACATTGACGAATTTTCTTCAAACAATCAAAACTCTTGCAAATTAACAATCTGCAACAAACAATTAAACTCTAAAAGGGAACCACCCAATCAAATTTGTTAAACTCTCCGGAAGGACTATATCCTGCTCACATATAATTATAATTATGCACTAGGTAAATATTTCATCAACTCCGCAAAACTATTATCATCAAATTCTGAAACTTGTAAATGTTTTCACTTGTCACCTCTATAAAAACAGTATTTTTCTGTAATGATTTGATATATCAAAATTCCCATCCCTATGCTGGTAATCCCCTACATAATGTACTATTTTCGCAATTATTCATATTCAGAACATTCTGATCTAGAAATTCCACATGAATTCCAAGTTGATTATTATGCCGCCACTCATATCTTAAAATCAACATTTCACTTATTTCTTTCTCAACATGCTTTCCATTCTGTAAATACCACACTTGTACAGCATTTGTGATCTGATCAGCGGTGACAGTTTGACAGAATTCACTAACTAGTATAAGGCAGCATTACCTCAATAGATCAGTAATCATAAAGCTTACATTACAATTCTTTTCTTTCGATCCTTTTTACTGCGATCAAATGACCTGCAGCCCTGTAATGGTAGTAGTTATAGCTGTAGCAGTAGTCACAATATATAATTTATTTCAAATGTAAACGCTCCAATTTACAAGCAACTGATATAATTTTTTCAATTTCTTCGATTAATCTGCTTAGCATCTCACAATCCATCACGAAAATTTTCTCCTCCTCCACGGAAGTAGAAGTCTCAACAGCATTACCAGTTGTCCAGTCACCACCGCCATCACCACTGCCAACACGAAGCCAAAATTGAAGCATTACGTCCGGTGCATGCAGCAATACCATCCGGCCAATCTGTGCAATTTCCTATGCTCTTTTTTTTTCTATCATCAAAATTACGAGATCAAGCATTAATATTTTGGATTTTCCAATAAAATGTTTCGAAAAGAAAAAATGCCTACAGGCTCACCGTTACTATAGCTTTCAGCATTTAAGCCTAGCCATAGAAAACAAAATTATGAAATTCATAAAGGACCAAATGAGAAAATGTCTCCTGCTAGAAGAAAAATTTGAATACAATCTACTAACATTGACATTAAAGGTTTAATTTAAAATAGAAACGTTTGCTAAAAATCATCTAAACTACCAATTATTAATACTGCTCACAGTTTTTATAACTCATCCCTACATACCTTCCGCTTCTGTGATTAGTCCGTACTGTTTAGAAGAGAAATAAAATCTTAAAAAGTTCAATAAAGGGATTTATTTCATAAATTAAATGGCCAACCAGCAATGGACTACCAACTTAATCAACTTTTCTTGCAAATTAAGCAAATCAAGGACTGAAATTTTGCTCACATTTTAACCCTTTCTTTTCCACTTTCAATTTCGGTGCAATTGGTAAATCTGTGAGGGAAAAATATACATTTTTGTTATTGCTTCATAAAATATGTGCCAATGGATTTTTGTTCCTTAGATATTCACCAAAAAAGCATTTCCCGTCCTCTTAGGGAAATCAAGATTTAATCTCTATTGCTGTCAAGGAATTAAGTACAGCAATGAAAAAATTGGTCTTAATTTTTTGCATTCAACTTGGTTCCAGTTTGCTAGATTTAGTGAAACAGTGAATTCCTTTCTCTATTAAATTGCTGACATATCTCGGGCTGAGATTGACGTACATTTCAAAAAGTGATATGGTAAATTAGCGATTTAATTTATTTAATTATTGGCAAAAAAAAATCCAGAGCTAGAATCTAAATCTATAATAGGGAGTAGCAACATAGGATGAACTAAATTCGTCAACAGCAAATAGAATTTTGTAAAAATTTATGGTAAATGATTCAACTGAATGAGATAAAAGTTTAAAGATAACGGACAGACAACAGCATACAAAACAAATTAATATCAAATTAATTTTTGATAGTTCATACAGAGTTCCTTTTTTCACACTTCAGAAAAGTATTCAAAAGCATGTAAATGTCGTCATTTCCAATGCATTTACTCTTTTCTTCAGCCTTTAAATCAATAAGTACTATTTTTCTTTTATCTGATTAAACTTTTTTTCCAAAATTCTCGATAAAACGATTTCACATAAGCAAAGTGAATTCCTCTCCGATTACGTCAACTCATTAGATTCTTAGTAATTTCTGAGAATATGAATCCTAATATGTCACAATGTTAATTAAATCTGCTGAAGATTTCCAGAATAAAACATGATAAACCAATAGCATAAAAGTTTTCAATTATTTTGATGCGAGATGAAAAAAAACGGATTGAAAAAACACAACTAAATTATGGAAATGACCTTCTTTCCTAATGTTTGTGGCAAAATGACTTGAGCAAAATGAATGGAATGTTATATATTATTAGCACACAAGAAATATTAACTGAGCACGCCTCAGTACGATTGGATAAACTACTAAATATTGAGAATTTTAAATTAACGCAAACATAACACTGTCCAGGTTAACTTCCCAAATGAAAACCTCAAATAAACTGAATATAATGTGCTTATGCATATTAATGAATTGCATGCACATTAATATGACGTCATTTTATGTAGGAAAGAGAAATCCTAATAATTTTAGAGGAAAAGTGAAGCATCGTTTGAAAAGTAAAGGTCGATATGTAAAAGCAGTGCATGAAAATAGCCATGCAATGCCTAGTAAATGAGCTGAATGGTGTAGATAAAAAGGAATTAAAAGGAACTGGCTTTAAGAAAATGAAAACAATGAATAAGGTACAGAACTGCAAACTTTGAACGTAAACTTACTCTATCGATGTCTCGTTGCAGAAAAGTATTGATTTTAAGAATATAATTGAACGAATTGTTAATTGTTAAACTTATTTCATACCCTAAGAGATACTTCTTCCTACACAAATGCTTAAAATTCTCAAAAACATCAAAAAAAGAGCTTACTCATAGTTTGTATCACATATCTTCCAGGACAAGAACGGCCTGGAGAAGGATAACACTCCATTTTTACTTAAAAATTCAATTCCGTTGGTATGTTGTCAATGAAGTAATAATGTATCGTGTAATTAGTTAATCTATATGATGTTTTGATGATGGCACTACCCTATTCCTCGATTCTCTGGTGAGCACAAAAAAACTGAGCGTACTACAAAATACCGAAATAAGAACGAAATAAGAACAAAATGTACAAAGAGTATATTATTATTATCACACAATAAATGAAATCGCTGATGTCTTTCTAACAAAGAGTCATAATTTTCTCAGAAATGCAAGACATTTATAAAAGATATGGCAATTTTTTAATTTTCTAGAAGTTAATTCATAATCTATTTAAAATGGACTAAATTAGTTTGAATATTAAATACCCTGCTCTTTTTGTATCAATCAAATGTTCTAAACAAATCAAATTGATTGGAACCTATGTAGGATATAATTCAATTCAAAAGTAAGTTAATCAAATCTATACAAAGATACAGTTCGGTTAATATATACTTATTTTTGAAATCTGTGCAAGTGATAAAAGATGTAAATGTCACTAGAAACCAAATCTTTTTTACATATTATATGGAATAAAATCAATAAACATCACCACATTCTAATTTGCCAATTAACAGTAAGTGATAGCAGTTTTTTTGAATGGTTTTTATTTAAGAGTATCAGTTTGAAAAAGTCAGTTGACTTTTTTCTAAACACGCTTTTTTCTGAAAAAATCATCGGCATCCATAAACTAAAAACAAAGAAAAACTACTGCACATAAAATATTGATATCAGTAAAATCTTCCACTGCACTAACTTCACAGTACTCTTGTGGGAGTTAAACGTTAAATGCAATTCAAGTATGTTTCTATTTACTTTTTTTCAACAGCAAATTTCATTAAAATACTATATCCAGACAGCAAAAACTACCTGACAAAGAATCGCTACCGAAAAAGCTATATGAAACCTAGTACACTCAATAATCTTGAAGGATAAATTCAATCCTCTTGACATATGTTACAGAGATTTTCAAGAAGTTCGAAAAGTTGGCCTAAATTTGCTAAGAATATAATTAATTGAGAGCAAGTTTAGGCAACAAGCTATGGAATGCTTTGTCATATTAAACAAGTATCTTTGGAATGTTTCTTTAGAGAATAAGTATCTTCAGACAGTTATTGAAATGAGACAGTGATTAATGAACGAAGTAATATGTGATAATATTTCTTGGTATCATTAATTCTATAACAATGTAATAATATTACAACTCACCGTAATCTGTAAGCGGCAACGAAGAGATCGAAATGGCGGATACTTAGACAAAGCATTCACCATGGTAGGTTTATAAGATTGCTCAGCATTCATAAAGTTGATTATTGTTTTTATAAGCTCGTCATTGAAGGAATCCCGTAATAAAATATCCTTGAGATTAGATTCAGCGACCTAACGACAGAAAGCTTTGCAACTTAATGATAAAACTATTTAGTTAATATTTTCATTAATACTTCAATTAAAACAGAAGAACCACAACTATCTCTAGGGCCTGCTGAACTACACAAAGAGAACAAGATGTCTAGACTTCTCTAATAAAAAAGTTCTATCAAATGTGTCATATTTCCTACCTGAAAATTGGTTTTATGTTAAAGAGGGAAATTGGATTTCATTATATCTGATGCAGAGATATTATACGATACTTACTAACCTTGTTGTTACGTACATAATTACGTAGTTGTATGAGAGAATAAAAACAGCGCCAGATGTCAACTGAAGGTATATCAAAACAAGCTGAAATTTATGACATGAATATAAAATACGAAGTTTCTTATCAAAGTGTACCAAGTAATTTTAGGAATAATACTACATTTTCAGCTAAAAAAAAACAAAAACAAAAAGGAATTCGTTTTTTTTTTTTATACTGAAGCAAAGAATCAGACTTCGTTCGTTTATCACTTTGCATTATTTCCATTTTATGAGTATCTTACAAAATGAATATCTGACAACAATTCAGCTACACTTTGCCATTAGTGTTCTAATTAAAAATTCTACATCTTATAACACCGAGGACACAATAGTTGGTACACTGGATAGAAAAATGATACTATTAATTTTCTGAAAGTTCATATATCACTACGCGACAGTCTTATCGTTCTCATGATTTGTGAAACAACTGCACACCTGCGAGGGAGTCAACGTAACCGGTAAGTAGCCGCTTTCTGTTGAACGATTCAATTTCTTTGATTATACCATCACATACTATAAATAATGATAAAACAATAAATTGTGATGATTCCAATTTAACATACTAAGAAATCACTTGAAAATCCAAAGTATTCGCCTTTAATTTTTTGATTCATAGCGTCAGTTTCTATGCTGACCGAAGCCAAGAATACAGTTAACACAGCAAGCTATCCACCTGTTAATATCGAAAGTGAACTTTAACCGATTTCACAAAATCAGAAATTAAGATCTTAAAGTTAAGATGAACATGAAAACGGTTCAGTGCCGATACAATCCTTTGCTATAATCATTGGCTTCTACATTGCAAAAGACAGTCTATCACATGGACAATTTAATCATCGTTGTCAAATCAATCAATCCCTCTCATATTTGATCCCATGCCAAAACTGACACTTACCCCGCGACGGCTCTGCAACGTGGAGCAATACACGCAACGGGCCCACCAGGTTATCCAGGTACTTCTCGAGCTCCTCCGTTCCCGGCATCTGCTGCAACCGCAATAGACCATAAACAAAGTGACTCTCTCTGTTGTTCAGGTGAGACGCCATGAAAACCATCATCTCATAAGTACGTTTTTTTACAGTTACAAAAGCACATCCAACCGTTTTTCTCTTTGTTGAAGCATACTTTTCCTTTTTGCGCACTGATCAAATAGATTATTAAAGCCGGATGAAGTTGTCTTTATGTTTCATTTATATAACTTTGCGCTTACTACGCTGTTTACATTGACGAACAACGTTTATTTATCAATTGATCGCTAAAATAATTTGTTCGAATGATTATTTTATTTTTTATTCATCGAAGAGTTAAAATGAACTTTCAAAATACGTGAGAAATATTTGACAAATTTCCATTTTTTTTACTCTACAAATAATATCAATTAATGAATAAAGAGCGAATACCGGGGAACAGATTATATTCGTTTACAGATAACGTTATACTCAAATAATTAATCATATCATTAAATCAGGAAAATAACAAGTGCAATTGGAATGAAGCTTTAAAGCATTCGTTTTGACACTGCTAACGTTTTCTTTTGCTATTTATAACTCATCGTGTTTGATTAATTTATGAAGTTCGATATCGAAGTATAAATCAGCTTTACCAGGTATTGATGGCTTTCGACCATCAGCACCATATCCTTAAAAGAAGTGTATAAATATAAAACGAAGATTGGATGTTTGAAATTAAATTCGTTAACTTGATTAAAATGGTGAAATTAAAACGCTAACCTAATTTCCATGGAATGATCACTTTTCGTCTCTCTCCTTCACACATACCATTCATTGCTCGATCCATACCTTCGATCACCTTAAAAAGTATAATCAATAATTTTTCAGTTTCTCAATGACTATCCTGCAAAATTAAGAAATCAACTGCTTTCCACATTTCAAACATTGTATTTTTTTAATTTAACAAGTCTTATACTAACTTTAGCAAAAAAATTATTGGATTTTACTAACTTTAGCAAAAAAATTATTGGATTTTTACTAACTTTAGCAAAAAAATTATTGGAATTTAACAAGTCTTATGCTAACTTTAGCAAAAAAAAAATTATTGGAGTTTTATCTAAAATATCATAATTTCTGAAAAAATAAAATAAATATATGTAAAATGAAATACCTCTCCTTTTCCAAGTTTGAAGATGAATGGCATATTTCGGCTAAAGCTTGAATCAACAAATGTTCCATCAAAATTTTGTAAGTGAAGCGTATAATGTTGGTGAATTGTATCACCTTTCTCCGCCATACGACATTTCGTCTTATCAATTTTATGTGTTACCTTCAAATCTTCCAGCTATCAATTTCAATATTTCCCTGATGGCAAATATTACCTCACGTTAGTAGCGTTAGTGATATGACTAATGATTAACTCTTTCCATTTATTTCATTACATTATGCTATGTAGTTTATGGAAGTGAAAAAATTTTTCTTCATAAGAAAGTATCGCTTCTTTTACGTTTAAAAATGAATGATGTATTTAGATTGAAATTTAAATTAAAAGGTAACACCGTGGATTTTTATATATCAGTTAGTGAAATAAAAGCTATTGAAGATAGTGTGAACTCGTTTATAAAAATAGTATGAACAGATTGGAAATATATTTTAATTAATTTCATAAAAGAACGTAACTTATATAGCCTATAATTAATTTTACATTACATGGCACTATTATAGCATTTATTTCGCAACATTTCAATTTTACTAATAAATAAATGCATGCCTCAATTTTTAAGCCATCTTCATCGGTCCATGAATCACCCGGTACCGGTCTAAATAAATCTACAAGTTGTACTGTGTAGTACAATGTTTGTCCACCTTTTATGTTATCTCTGTCACGACCGTCATCACCGAAACCTAAATGTGCTGGAATGACCACTTTTCTCTTTTCACCGATGCACATACCGGTCATAGCACGGTCCATACCACTGATAACTTGACTTTTACCAAGTGTAAATACATATCTGAAAAAGTTTGAAATCCAAACACTTGATAAAAGATCAAACTTAGAAGCACGTTCAGAGAGAAACAATTTATCCTATATGTTGATTGACCAATGGATACTGGACAAGAAAAAGAAAGAAGGACCCGTCGTTCTCATTCTAATCTAATTTACAAGTAAATAAAATGTAAGATCCAAGATGGAATAAAGATTTCTCATTTTGAAATTTTTGAATCAATTCTAATTTACTCAAATCAGTGTAGCCAACCAATCATTGCTATAGGTGAAGCTTTTTTTCGATTGTTAAAATCTTGTGATTCTAATTCTTTTCGATTTCAGTTAGATAAAGAGTATCCCCGGTTGAATTAACACTTTCCAGATGACCTTACGGTTTCTTGCCGAAATTGGATCCTATTGTTTGTCCATCTTTGTCGGATAGTTTGTAGAACTGTTCAACGATATCGCCCGGTTGACTTTTTATCTTACATTTTTCTGGCTTGATTGGTTTTATTATTTTAATCTAAAAATTATCATTTTAGGATTTGATTGATATGAAGTAATGGAATGCAAAAAACTGAAAGTGCAAATAAAATTTAAGCGACAAACCTCCAATCCATCATCCTCCTTCCAACCAAGTTTCTCTTCGTCTTCACCAAACACAGAAGCAAAGCATATTATTGTTACGCTCGCAATGAGAACCAATTTATTGCAATACATAACTCAAAAATAATTTAAAGTGAATTTGCGACAAAATAGAACGGTGAAACATTTCTAAAGTAACCGAAAAGTTTCAATTAATTCAAATTCAATGTGATCGGTAAATGTGACAAATGATCATTTTAATTTAACTTTTAAAATAGTATAATGGCATTCTTCAACGGTTATTTCTTTAAATAAAAAATAAAAAAATCAAAATAGCGAAATCAATTTATTTTTTTTAAAAAAATCAAAGTAGCAAAATCTGAGCTCACAGACTATTGTGTTTTAGCATTTACAGAATACTCTATCATTTCTTGGGCTAAATCATTCCTACCATTGTTGAAAAAAAATAAGCCCACAATTTTAACAGATGAAAATGTGTTTGAAAGATAATCTTCGGAAAGTATTAATAAAGAAAAACTAAACTATAAAAGAATTTGCTAAAAAGTGGATGGTGCATGAATGAAGGATGGAATAGAAAGAGAGGGAGAGAGAGAGGCAGAGAGAAAGAAAGAAATATTTAAACCGGTATTGTGAATGATGATCAGATTGGTTATTTTAGCAATCATCGAGGGAAAGATGGTGGGAGAGGAAACGAGAGAGGAGAGAGAGAGATATGAAAGAGAAATGCTATGCATTCAAGCAAGGAGTTTGTTTTCTCAAATCACTGCTTCAAAGATAACTTTTTTCATGATAGTGGACACATACATACATGCACGTACACGCACACATATACACACACATACACATACAGACATATACACATATGTACACACATGCATAAATGCACGCATACACATGCACACGCATGCACGCATGCATACACGCACATACACACACATACACATACACATGTGTGTATGTGTGCATATATACATATCCATCATCCATGATTTCATTCTGACTTATCGTTATATGTATTTTCTACCATTTATTAATTTATTCGAACAAATTTAAGAAACCTTTTTTGCAAGTATTGCAGGCTAATTGGCAGTTATCAGCCATCCAACCTGGATTAGCGGTACATTCTCCCGCGGATGCCCAGAATTGGCACCATTCATGTTGATCGCAACAACCATTATGACATTTGAAACTCTTCGTTATTGGATTATTATCATCACCGTTAACTTCTAAAATTAAATTTCAAATTGGTAGTATATTATTTGATAGTCATTGGTTAATTCATTATTAATTTGATAAAATAAAGTTTAACAGTAAATGCAAATAATGATTACTTTCATTTGTTATAAAAAGTTACTTTATTAAATAATTTAAATGTAATTTTAATGCAAGTTTTATTTATTCATTTATAATAAATAATTTAATAAAATTAATCAAAAATGCGTAATTTTTCTTTTTTTACTAATAAAATTAAATTTATATCATTTAAAAGATATCAAAAAAATCATTTCATGTGGAATTTATTGAAATGAAAATAGTTGAAAATGCAACGGAAACATAAAACTTAGCGGTGATTTACGAATTGAAATTATGTTTAACAAATTTATCTTATGATTAATGAAAAAAGTAATTGACGTTCCACTACTACGCAGTATTTCTTTTTACTTTTTGTTGCCGAACGATTAAATTTATTATGACCAAACTTATGAAACGACATTTAGTATTTTTAAGATTTTTGATTTTAAAATTTGAAACAATTCTTTCTTCACTCAAATAAAAGTTACTCAACAAGTTCTCGCATAAAACATTTTTTTTTTAATGGAGTAATTTACAAAATTAAAATTTTTACCCCAACTTGTAAAATTTTGATTTTGAAAAAAAAGGTCTCATTTTTTATATTTTCTGGATTTATGCCTTTGATGTTATTTTAAGTTATTTACAGACAATTTTTTTAAGTCGAAAAAAAAACAAAGTTTATTTTAATAATATCAGCGATCGTATTTTCTGACTACTTTTGCTAATTAGCAATTAAACTAAATTAATTAAAAAATAAACTAACCCTGAAGTAGCACAAATAAAAGAATTACAATTGAAAGTATTGAATAGTAAATTAGCATATTGTTTCAGTTTCAAATGAATTGATAAGAAAACAAAAATATTTAACTTGAGAACAGTCAAATTTCAATATTGAAATATATCGAACAGTATTAAAATAACACTTTCACTCTTCTTTCTCCGGGGCAAATAACAGTAGCTGTTGTCTGATTAAAAATATTTATTAATTTTGACTTTGCTGCAATATATAAATAAATATTATTTAATCATCAAATGATATGAGCAAACTTTAATCCAAGCATTCAATCAAACGATTATAGCAATTTTCATTCTGAGCTAATTATTATAATTGTTTAAAATTAATACAATCACTATTAACAGTAATAAAAGTAATAAAAATAAAAAAGATACCGTATACCGAAAGAAATATACGATGGATTACAGTAATTAATACAATAAAAAGTGTGATAAAGATGATAATCATTGCTTCCTATTTTCAAATTTTCCGATATGAAAAAATGAAGCCGCTTCACTTCCTTGCCTTTCACAAAAATGTGCGGTACTTCAATGCTGTTTACTACCTATCAATGAGCACATGGTAGTACTACCAATGGTAAGAGGAGCTATCGACTTGTTTCCTATCAAAATTCATATTTGTAAAGAAAAAAGAGCTATATTGGTGCTAACAAAGACTCTTCTTTTTCTTTTTTTTTCTGCTGTCAAAAAGATAAATTGATGGAATCGTTCTTACTTTTTTTGGTAATTCTTTGTTTTGTTTCTTTTTACAAAATACCTTTTTGATATTTTCAATTCTCATTTATTGATAAGTTAAATAAGCGAATAATTTTTGATTCTCAGTTGTAATGAAGGATAAATGGTAATATTTTTGATCATTTTGATAATTTTACACCTATTTGGTTAATTATTTATACAAGCTATATTACTGATAATTTAAATTAAATTTACTATTACATTCATTAATAGAGGGAAATTTCCATATTGTTCAAAATATGTTAGCTTAATTTTGTTGAAATTAATTGCTGTAAAAATTTAGCCATATTATTTTCAGTACCAAGCGATGATTTTTAATTTAAATAATAATGCAAATATGCTAAATTAAAGAATGCTAAATAGCATTTAAATAATTAATGAAGTGGAACGATTTAGATGCAAGAGTAAAAGTAAGGATGATTCAATAATAGAATTATTATCAAAATGGAATTCTTAAATAAATTTTAAACTAAATTAATTTATCTTATTACTTCTTTATCTATTTTCATTTCCATTGACCCTTTCTTGCCGCCTTTAATTATTACTATAATTTAATTCAATTAAATCATATTAACGGATATTTGTGAACGCATAAATCTGTAAACGTGTTGCGATAAATAAATACGAAATTACTTTATTAATTGATTTAATAACTAATTAACGAATGTAATATAGTCTAAACTTATAATCATATAATTTTACAATATTAGCAATATAAATTTTCGATTACTGTTACAATTATAAACGATTGAAATGAAAATTTGAATTAAAATTCGATCCAAATATTCGCTTCTTCTTTGTTTTTCGTTTTACGTTTTACTATAGCATCTTTTATTACTTCCAATTTTCTAATTTTTTACGATGAGATTTTTTTGTTGTAATTAATAGAATTAAATTTGTGACTAATTAATAAATGAATTACAAATAAGCATGTTAGATATAAATGATCAAATAAGCATTATGAAGGCTGTGAGTAGGTACAGAAATAACTACTCAAATATTTTTTGGAAGCAATTTTATCAACAATTTTTTTTATTACAATTTACAATTTATTACAATTTCATTTCTACAATCTCTGTATAAATAATATTATGCAAACACAATCAAATAAATATGCCAAAAAAAAGAAAAAAAACAGGTTCTTGAAAATGTGAAAAGCGATGCTTGAATTAAATTAAATTACTTTTAACCTACTTATGATTTTCATTTTTTTTAAATTGAAATATATACTCTGATAAAACATTTTGATCAGTTAAGGAATGAGATGGATAAAGGAAAAAAATGAAAGCGAACCAACCTTGTTTTTTTTTTTCGTATTTATGAGAATTTCAAGAAAGTTATTTACAAATTCACGTTCTATTTATTTTTTTAAAAAAATTTTGTTTCACTTATTTTTGCAAGAAATATCGTAAGCTTCAGTTTATTAATATTAAACGTCATCAAATAAATAAGCTATGAGAGATTTTAGCTCCTTGTATTATTACTTAAATTAAAATTTAAATTATTTAGTTATTTATTGACTGCAGTTATCTGCAATGAAATTAATGATATATGTTTCTATAAATGAATTTCTTTCGAAGGTGACATATCATTATCATTTTTATCATGAGGTATTATTAAATATTACAAAATACACATGTCACCATCACGTACGCTCTATTATCTAACAAACATTAATCATTAGATGATTCTAATTAATTAAAATTTTAATCCCACATAAACGAATGCAGCATCAACACAATTTATTAGTAACTGACTATTTATTAAAAGTTTTTTAAAAATTCAAACGTTAAAATTAGACTTAAAATGGGTAAATATTGAGAAAGAATGCAATTTATACGATATTTTCTGTAACGTATGTTTAATTTGTTGTAAAGTTACATCCTTCAAATTTGGCAATTTAGTGATTTATTTTTTTTATTTCTGAATTCCTGAATGATTTCAATGGCTGAGAATAGCATTTTTTCTCAAATAAAAATATGAATGAGCAAATTTTGACGATAAATTTCCAGTTTATAGTTCCATATACCTGTTAAAATTCTTTTCAAAAAAAGAAAGCTAGAAAAAATTGATTGGAAAATTTGAAAAAAAACAGTAAGCACGCAAAAAATTAAAAACATGAACATTACGCTTAACTGATATCTAACTAGTTTGAGTTCACAATAATACTGCTATTCCCGATGCTTTCACTACATGTTAGTGTATCATTAATGAATGACACTGATAGCAGTGATAGGACATGAATAATAATGATAGTTAAAATGACAGTAATAACATTGGTCTTGTATTACCATTTGCAATAAATATTATAATTTTTCTTTTTAAAAAATATATTCCAAAAATATTTTTTTAATAAAACTTTTTAGTGTTTTAATTATTTTTTCGTTGGCTCATCGTCATGATATCAATATTAATATAAATATTTATAGTTTAAACGACGATAATTTTCAAATCTTAAATTTCAACTTATAATGATTATACAAAAAAAAAAAACAAGGAACGAGCTGTTTCAGAATTGTGAGATACTTCAGAAGTTATTCGAATTTGAAATTTCAAAACACTTGAAAAACTGTTGAATTTAAAAAAAAATGAAATTAGTTTTTTTTGTGCATTCATGCGAACAGTCCTTTTTCTTTCTTTCCTTTTCAATAATCACACGTTTTCATTGCTTCATGCTATTTCCAGCGTTCATCAACTTTGTTTTCAAACTTTCTTGTGTAATAAATTTATAAATGGAAAATATTATTTGCATAATATTCAAAAATGATAACTATTATGTTTTATCACCGTACTGAATGTACATCTTTTTGGATAAGTGAATTAACGAATTTTGAGCTAACAGAAAATAACTTACAGTTAGGAAATAATAGAATGTGGCACTGGCGAAAAATTCATAAATCTGTAGCCATAGATAAATTTTTTTCGTTTTTTAGTCGAAATGATCAAAAAAAAATTAATGCAAATACAGTATAACTGTTTGTTTGTTTACTTAATAAATTAGCTTCAAATTACAATAGAATCATTGACAATTTTATATTTCAAAATTTAATTCTTAGCATTATTTGGATAGATTTTCTATAAAATTAAATTTGAATATGAGTTCAATTTAATTCTCAAAATAAATATTGATTTGGAAAATATGATCTGTGAGAAACTGAGAATGCTTCTGTTAACGCATTAATTTCAGAAACGACTAAAGTTTCAAATCTCACAAATATATTTTAAAAATCATTTGATTCGATTTTTATCTTGTTTTGTAGCTTATTCAATCATTTATTGCTTATATTATCCGATGAATTTCTATTTTTTGCTTTAAACAGAAAATCTTTATTCTAAGTTTTTCTCAAAAATTTTTTTATAATTTAAAATGCAAACTTGCCATGCAAACAATCTTTCAATGATCAGTGATTACTTTCTCATTTACACAACATATATTAACTCATATTAATTTTAATTAAATTACAAAATTATTGCATGAAGCGCTATTAACAATTGTATTTTGATGATACCTAAAAATACACTATTATTAATCTAATAAACTCATTTCACTAACAGGCATAGTAACTAATGCAGTAACAATTATCTTACAGTGATCAACCAGAATTATCCGCACATCATCCGATATACCTTTTTCTGGATTTAAACAACGTACGATGACATGAAACACATACGTCACCCCTGATACCAATGCCGGAATCGGAATCAATGATTCCTCAAATTCATAAAATTCCTGATTGTAGTGAAACATCAAATAAAGATGCTGAAGAGGCAGTTGACTGAAATAACATCTGGCAAATTTTCTCAATAATTTAAAATAAAATTGAAATTTCAAAAAAAAAATTCATAACAAATAAAAATAGAGAAGCAATTCACTATTTTTACAATTTACCATTATTTTATTATGAATAAATAAATACTATGACAACAACAAAAAAAAAATGTTTATTATTGTTATTCAGGAAAAATAAAATTTCTTCTTCTATTAAAATTAATATTATCTTACAAGGAGAAAAGATTTAAAAAAAAAAAAAACAAACTTTCTTAATTTATATTCAAAAAACAAAGAACATACGAGGCAGCTTGAAGTTTGATAATCATCCGAAAAATTGGTCCAAAACCATTAATTTCCACCGATATTTCCACCGCCTCATTTTTTTTGGTTGAAATTGAATTTAGCGAATTTTGCGTCAAATTTGCAAATGCTTTAGTAACTGCTAATCGTAACATGAATAAGTCTCTTTGGAAAACCTAAAGAGAGTGGAATTATCAGATGTAATCATATGCAGCCTATATTATCATATCAATTATTATCACTATAATAATTTTGTAAATGTATTTTTATTGCTTTTTTTCCATGGTAAGAAAAAATTTTTTTTAACGATAGAAAAAACTTAATTTTTTATCGCTGTCATTATCAAACAATCCAATTTTAAAAAAATTTTTTAATAAAAAATTAGATTGTTTGATGAAGTTAATAGAAATCAAAAATAGGACAAACAAATGGGTCAAAGAGAAAGAGGTGAGAAACAAAAGTTTAGAAATTATTGTTTTTTCTAAATTGGGAACATAAAATGTACTCAAGTAACGGAATGAAATTAATATAAATTAAGCAAATTTATTATATATAATTTTATTTATCACCCATTTAGATATAAATTATAGTATTGCTTGTTATCGGTATGTGAAATGATTAATTGACACTGCAAAAATTCAAATTATATTAAATAGGAGATGTTGCAATAATCATTATATGTAAACAAATTAGATATCAAAATTTTATTAATTCAAATTCGTATAAATTATTTGAATTGTTTCCAATGTTTAATTCATTTGCAATTATTTTGAAAATCTTCTGAGATAAAAATTCCCAAAATTGGTAATGATTAGATGAAATTTTTGATTTAACCGTTTTTATTATCATTTTAATGAAGAGTTTGGTCTTGTTTCCTTTTTCCATTTTTTATTTAAAATAAACAAGTTAAATACCTGATGCATCAGTTGCGCATGTTCACGTTCACGAATTGTTTGATCAACGTAAATTTGCGTCCTACGTGGTAAATTTAGTTTCTGAAATTGCGCTTGTACAGCACCAACTTCTCCAAGGTTCTTCTCCAGTGTTCCTGTTCGACGAAAAAGTTTCACAATTAAACCACCACCTTAAAAAAATTTTTTTACTAAAGAAAAAAGCAAAATTCTCAAATTCATAAGCATTAACTTTTGATAAATTATTATTTCAAAAAATTTGCATAACATCTTTGTAAAGTAATACAGTTCTAATTTTCAATTTGATATAAAAAAGTGTGTT